GAAATTATCACTTATAGACGACATCAAATATAGCATGAAATTCTACTCAAATAGCACCCAAACATTGGTGCAATAACTATTGATAACGTTAAAGTCATAAAATCAAGGATAAATTGATAGTATTAAGGACGTGGATGTTATTTAGATATTACTAGACTAGTCATCTAATAAACATGCATGCCGTATAGTTGCATTTCTTTCCGGATATTAGCCAAGGCTTATTCATTTTGCAAGCGTCAATATTAAAAATTTCAGGCTATAAAGCATTAATTCCCTCCGTTTTCCGCTCGATTATAGAAGAGAACACATGGAATGTAAACTGTACCTGCACTACGCATATTGAATTAAAGCACCGCTGATTTGTAATAGGAGTATGCGTAATTATTGGTGATGCTAACTTCAAAACATCCGACAATTAAAATTTTTATCTATTAAATTAAAAACTAACCATATTCTCATCACCAAATAGGCCAAAGAATCTATGATCATATGATTTTAAACAAAATGTAGTATTCACTTCTGCTAATGAAGCCACTCTTGAAACTAATATGTGTAATTTCTTTAGATATTGGTATGTTTCTAAACAATACTACCAGAAGACATATTGCCTATTCAAAGGCATCACTTCTAACCTTAAGAGTTATCGACTGTAGTCACTACGTATTTACGAATACCTTAAAGTATTATTTCGCCAGCTCGAAATTGTAAAGCCCTTTAACTATTGTTTTAAAAATATTATCGTTTAAAGGAGTAATAACTCGAAATTAATATAACAGGAAATTCAATTTCTAGGAAATTTCAATTGATTACTTGAGTTGCTTCTCCAATCAAGGCGAAAGACATGAATTATTTCTAATGTCTTGTATAAACATAATTCAAACAGAATTTTATTATTCGGTTTACAAGATTTATCTTTTTTTGGATTATATTCCATTTCCATATCTACATATTATACCTTATATATTTTAGAATAGAGTGATTCATATCTAAAATAGCAAAATTAGCTATCAGTGATAGTTGTATCGAATTATAATCATAACTATTGCAAAAGGTTAAAGCTCCTATAGTTTTAAGTCCTAAAAGTAAATACGTCTTATACAGTACGCGCTATTTGTAAACGTATATGAACAGTAATCACTATTAGGAGACTTAATAAATTTTTTTCGAGTTAGTCCATGATATTGGCCTACTTTCGTCATATTTCACTTTGTAATACGTCATTTTTTTATATATAAGCCCATGAACATATCATGAATGAGATGTCTCAATTGACTTTAGCAGTATGAAAATCTAACATAGGGAGTATGTTGGTTGTAGTACTTTGGGTAGCGTAGCATTCAATAGATATTGGAGATATGAAGAATTGGTTATTCTCCTTTATTCACCATGTTTTCACACTATTACGTTCATAACACGCGATGCGGTAAAGCATAAAGTCTCGTAGCTTAGTCTATAGTGTCGATAATTAATTAATATCATCGTATTTTGCATAGATAAGTAATGATATTTTATAGCGTAAACGGACTAGTATTGTATGATAACAAAATACTACAGTACATTAGCAGTATGTGTAATAATAAAAATATAAAATAAATGGCTACCGTGACATGTAGCTATAGCATAAATGATTCGCTTTAAAAGGGGTTTCCTTATAGAAAATAATTCATAATATCATAAAGTTATAAAGTAATAAGTGTCTTATTCTGATTACGTATTTCTGCACATAATACTCATTCAAATTAATTAACACTCTATATTCCCTCATATCATAATCTAACATTTCGAATTTAAAAGTATTAAATATCGTAATAAAAGAAATCTATCATTTGGTCATCCATTATAAAATATGGACAATTTCCTCTGATAAAAATATACTTTCCCTTACTCCGATTCAATCAATGTAGAATTTTTTTCTCTTCCGTCGATGGCTTATTCTAACCAGAATAAATTGATAGGAATAAGTAAATGGACTACGATGATTAGCAAGCATGATCGTTGAAAAATCAAACGTCAGCGGCCACTACTCATTTAAAATTTAGCCTGGACATATAGACAGCGACAGAGACATTCAATGATTTTGTTTAATTAGTACTATTGAAATTAATATCGACAGCTGTTAATGGATACTGTATATCCTTTTAATACAGTATCGATGTTATCAAACAATAGCCGCTACAAATTTCTTTTAAAAATAGTACTATTCTAATCCTCTGGCTTGTTGAATGAATAATTTATCAATATAATTTGCAACGCCAAATTGATGAAGAAAGCTAAACTAGCTATCGGTTTTAATCCATTAATAATAGATTAAGTATAATTGACACTAGTTATCAAAATATTATGACTAGACAATTAAAGTACCACCAGACTCTTTCTTTATTACCAGGTATGATTGACTTTGACATCGATAATTGAACCGCGGTAAAAAGACTTATTCATCCAATTATGATAATAGTTGTTACAAGAGAAATGCGTTCTATCGCATTAAATTGATAAACTGATGATGCAGGCATTAGAGTTTTAAGTATAGATTTTTTAGCACCTAGAATGGGATAAATTTTGTTCAATTTTATGCTTGGCCTAAATTTCAATCATTGACTTTAAATTTGGCTGCCTGCCATGAGCAAGTTGTATCTAGTAATGGCATAGTATGTCATTCTTGGATTTTTATCAACCGTTTATGGTATATTTCCGCTTAGCAATTTGAATATCTGTTCTTTAAAGGGAAATAAGGATAATTTTCAGTTGCTAATCTTGCATTATTTTAATATGACGATATTATCCATTAGAATAAAACGTCTATTCAATAGTTACTGTATGCCTATATTATCCATTTGAAGATAATAGACGTGACGTGTAAAAGTTTGGAGTATTTACCAGAAATGAAGACTAAACGTTGCTATTTATATTCTACTAGCTAATGGACTTTTGAATGCTATCATTGAGTTATTATTTGAACAGTTGTAGAATAAGTATACTTGCAATCGATCGAAATTTATCGACATAAAGAACGACAAATTTTGACATACGGATTGAAAGGACTTTTTAATGGATAACAATAAGGCTATATTTGATCAGTTGCTGAGGAATTCAAATTGATTTATTATGATACATCAAAAGTAGTGTAGCAAAATAGGATACTTGAGTGGTTATTTACAAAGTTTCTTCTTCCTGTTGACAAGATAAAATGTAATAGCTAATCGACGTATGTCTTGCCATTACAATGATATATTACAGTTATTACTTTAGTGAAGTTAGATTGTTCAATTCCTCTAAGGCTTACTCATGGTATAAGGTTATCGCTGCTTGATTGTTGATGATCGATATTTAACGGGTAGATTTACTACTGATTGTAGAAATACACTTGCAAATATATCTTGTAGATCATAGCTCGCTGCATTGCCTTCCATTTGCTTCCATATTATCAATAACATTAATTGATTCCACTACCTTAGCTGAGAGTTAAAACAACAGTCGGATTGACTAATGATGGCCGAGGTAAAAATAGAAAAGAACCTTCAAGTGATTAGTTATTGCTTAATTCAACAAATTAAGGGAAAATTTACTTTGCAGAATTTCCATAACAATCGATCAAGTTAACTAGCGTGGTCAATCAACAATAGATTATGTTGACATCTTGCATAATTTTGATATCTATGTCGCCATATTACTGGCTTAGATGTCGTCATTTGCTAGCTGATTTGATCAGGGCTATAATAAGAATGAACTAACAACAGTGGTTTTATTCGTATTAAAAAAGGAATCATTATACAATCATTTAATTATCTGTAAGTAGTAGAGTTAGTGAATTGATTAAAATATTGAGTTGTTGATGGGAAAAAGAAGACGAAAAACCACAGTTTGGGCAGTTGACCTAAATGTATGCAGAGTGATGAGCCGATAGAGAGAAAACGTGCTGAGATTATTTCGATGACCAAGGAAGCTTTTTTACATCATTTTAAAGGATAGACGGGAAAAATATAGTAATACCATTTTTTTTTGTCATTGGTGTTAGCAATTTTACCCTTTTCAAGACGTAAAAGCTTGCTATCACTCTAAAGTGCTGTTGGCAGGGAATGCCATGGAACTCCATGCTAAGCGAAGACTTGATCGTAATTTAGGCCAACTTATCCGTTATTCCATCATTCAACTTATATGTGGCATTGCTTGCCTTAGTTGTGCTATCGTTAACTTTGTATTAAATCCACAGAGTGCACCAAGTTATCAATTGATTTTGCAATGTGTCTCGGCCGGAGTGGTAAGTATTCTTGTAATGTATAGCCAATTCTTCGTAACTAGCTGGTATACTATGCATCAACGTATGAAAAACGATAATGGCGATAAAAGCCTTATTTTTGCCCGTAATAGAAAAAAAGTTCAATTATTTTCAATCTCAGACATCATTTTTGTTAATGATGCCATTGTAAAGGGAAAAAAGTAACAATTTTTCTTATGGATCAATCTTTGAAGCTGCCAATAGCTATTTTATTATTACTTTACATATCTTTTACTTGATACCTTTTCTTCTCACTAGTGAATTTTATTGTTATTGGCGACAATGTCCTTCGATAAGTATCTACGGCTATAACGTAAGCGGGTTCAGCATTGAGGATTAGATATTAATCCCATTGTAATTTAGGTCAATTCTTTTTTTTCCATTCTCATTTTATTTCACTGTACTATCGAGGAATGGCTCTTCCTTTACTATTTTTCTATTTCTATGATTAGTAAGACAGGACTAAGTGTTAACGGTCATGATGCCGCCATATCGCCTGTTAAATAGCGTATCGTAGTCTGCCTGGTTGTTCTGTAAATTCGAGCGCCTGGGGGTTTATTTCATTGTTAAATGCTACAATTTTTGAAATTTCCTTCCCAACTTTGATGCCTTTTTATTCTAAAAAATTCTTTATTACGATAATAGCCTGTAGCGTATCCTATTTTACGTTAGTTTAATCTAGTGAAATGACTAAAAGAACCAAATTATCAATCACCAAAATAATGCCGTTATCCTTTGAGAAAATATCCTTCTTTTCAATCATGGGTATGAGTACTCGCCGACGAAATCTAGAAGGGTTAACGTAGAAAGTATTCCTATTGTAAATTAAATCGATATAACCACTCTAGATTTAGGCAGGAATAACATTCTTTCCTATATTTTATGCTGTTAGAGTGATTGACGTTCGAGATTTTGCTGGGATTGTGATATCAAAGCAAGTATTTATATTCCTTTCGCACTATCATCGACCGTAAGCAGATTATTCTTTCTTTTTCGTGATCAAGTGGTCGAGGATTGATGTTAACAACAACAATAACCGATTCAGCAACTACGATATCGAATAGAAAATATATCTCGTTGTAGCGAGGGAAATTTTCTGTTTTACAGCGCTAGCCAATTTGTCTACCTTTGATTAAGCAAGGGAAACGCAAATAGGATAATACTAAAAAAATCAATAGTAGATTTACAGTCAAAACAAGTCGGTTCATTTTACTTTTATACGACAATCAATTGACAATGCATGTGTGTCCTCGATATTAATTACATTAATCTTGTTAGTGATGTTTTTATTCAGATAAATTTACTTCTGGGTTGAAAGTTGTTTAAAAATTCCAGCCCTTCGTTCTTATTTTTCTATAGGCATTGATTTGCATGCCTATTTACAATAACTAACATCGATCACCGTCGCTTACCATTTTCAACAAGGAAGTTAATTAGGACTCATTCTTTGTTTGCTATTTTTTAATCTGTGTATAATCTAATTAAATCGTACATCGTTGATGAAACACTCTTGCATATGCTTCTGACGTGTGTATCCTTACCCCTCTACCAGTAATTTGTTGAAGCAAGTTACAGCCATCTCTTGAGAAGCATCATATAAATATATGTTGAATTTTTAGTTGGAATATCGCTAGATTTAAGTACTTTAGCAACGTATAAAAAAATAATTTATCTGGTTTGACTTGAATTCAATAATATGAAAAATTTCGTTTTCATAACGATTAATAGTTAAGCGTTTCTGCTGCCATGATATTTGGAGGCTTGTATAAGAGAAGATTTATTCCGTGGATTGCGTATAGGGTAAGAATGTAGATTATGTAGAGAGAAATCAAGTTACACAATTGATTTCAGTCAAAGACTAGCTTTTAAATTTATTGTCGCCTAGTCTAGAGTAGAACTCCTGTAAAGGAGCTTGCTGCAATAAATTCAGAATAAAGTAATAGATTTAATAAAATGATAGAATTGGAAGCATCGATAAGGAGCAACTGGTACAGAATCATTAACACACTGTTAAAATACGACTTAGCCATAACTTGGTTTTACCTCTATGGTTGATGGAAAGACGAAGTTACTCTACTCTAACTACAGTGTAAACGTTTGTGTGAAAAGTAAAAGGATGGATATGATATGAAATGGCTTTACCGCTACAATTTTGATCAGTTCTTATGTAGCTATTACTGAAATAGGCTATAATAGTATAAGAGACATAAAATATCTGACTAGTGTTACTAATTAGCTGCAGCATCCAATTTAATCCATCAGTTTTCAACATTGACCAAGTCTTGCTTGCATTGTAGCTGAAAATAAAGATTTCTTTCGTAATTTTTCCAAGAGATCATTTATGATCGCAAAGGCTAATTAGCTACTCTTGGTAATATTGTAAAATAAAATTAATGAATTGACGTATTCATTTGCATTAATTCCTTCCTTTAGCCGTTAACATTTCAAATTTTGAATACTGGACTTAATATCCCACTGTGGATGACCGTAGTTATATCAGCATGGAATTATCCATACCTGTATAATCAATCGTCAAGATACGCTAATGGAGTATACTTGGGTATCGCTTTCTGCAGTGTTGTTTTATATGGATTAATTACTGGTACACTTAGGCTGAACATGGACGCTTTGAAGGTAAGCTGGACTAGAACTAATTAGTGTGTAGCAGCGAATCTTGATAGACGAATATCATGGTTAAAACATCATGGAATCATAGTTAAATGATTATTTTTTCTTTTGGACAGTGTCTAGTGTACTACCTATTATTTCTCTACGATACTAATACAAGTTAGCCTATACCTAGTGGATACTACATGAAAGTATTTATGACCTAATCACTTCTCTAAATATAAAACTAGGCAAGCATAGAAGAGTCGAAACCAGTAAATGAGAATGGAACGAAAGAAAGAAGTAGTAGAAGTTCTTATTACGATTCCAGTGTTTGATTCAAGCTTTGTTAACGTGTGAATAATTTTTGATAGAGATTAGCTGGCTTCTACCGAAACTTCAATTTTAACTAGTATGAAAATTACAATTTGTTACCGCAATAATTACCAAAAAGTTTGGACTACCTTAATGTACAGCAACTGCAATGCTATATTAGACATTTCATTTGTACTTAGTATGTATCGAAATATTATCAAATTTACAGACTCTATACCTCCTAATAAGTAATCTGAGCCTAGATGATTCCGTTCAATTTTGTATTATATACTATCAAGATACGAGAGCATGGAAATGCAATGTATGCAATTATATGCTTTATTTTATTCCTTTCGACGTTCACGCTGAAATAAGTTTAGCTAATTGGAATTTTAATTTTTGATACCGATAAAAGTTGTGTAATCAAGGTATTTGTTACTATAAGTATTTCAAATGCAATTATACTTGCTTCAATGAAATATATCAAGTTGTAATCCAGATTTATAGTTAACCATATTGTCATTTTTTTTATCCTCCTAAGCTACTGTATCTACAATTTCATTTTCGATGGTTCTGTAGTTGTATATTGGCATATATTTTTACGCCATGATGGATACAAGATATTATACTCTATGAAATCGCCCATGAACTATTCGCATTTGTCATCGTAGAATGATCACTTTGACCTTTGTGATAGGCCATCAAGGCTTTGGTTAATGAATTCATTCCAAGTGTTTTCAATTTTGCCGGTATTAAACTATTTGCGTTCAATAGCTATCCATTATGAAGAGAAAATAAAAGTATTATACATATGAAGCATATTGACCTTTAGGCAATCAAAATGGTTACACTACTTGCACTATGCCTATTCATCATTCTTTATTTATTTCTTTCACATTGGATTTTACTATTTGAGTTTATACGTACTTACTGACGTAATATCCAATGTCTGCCTTGGTCTAAGCTAATCGTAGTGAGATATTAAAAGTCTGATAGTATAGGCAACAAATTAGTATCAATGACCACCTCCGGAGACTTACAGTGGAAAACATAATTTCATAATGCTCTTATTCCAACGGCTATATGTCTGATACATTGGGCTCGTTTTTTTCAGGTATTTACTTCCATGTATTACTGCAATTATCAGTTTATACAGTCATATACAACATGGGGTTGGAGACATTTGTATTTAAAATTTTATTTGCTTCAACACCATTTATAAATAGATTCAAATTCAGAGATTAGCAGAAACCAAGAACCAGTTAAGGATACATTTTTAGACGGAAGCATTGTGATACAACACTGTCAGAAATTGAAGATATCAATAATTGGTTTAAATTATGTAGTATCATATAAATACTTACTTCCTTAGACTTGCTATGTCAGCAGTAAGAGTAGGACTATGTACAGTATTGTACTAATAAATTCATTTTAGAAGCATTAAGATATGCGGATGGAAGGTTCAATTTAGTCATACAAATACAAAATACCTTTAGTTTAGCCATTGCTAAAGCCCCTCCAAAACAAGTATAAAAGTAGGTAAAACACAACAGTTACAGGACAAGGATTAGTAGCTGATTGAAGGCAGTCACCATCCTCAGACAAATTTCTTTTAGCGACATCTGAATGTCAGTATAAATATTACACTGCATCAACGTTAGCAATAGCATGCACGATGTTTTTAATAGTTAGAGCATAAACACAACAGCTACAGGACAAGGATTACTAGTTAACTTGAGGCAGTACCATCCTCAGATAAATTTCTTGAACGAATCTGAATGTCAATATAAATATTACATTGCATCGACATTAGCTACAGCATGTACTCCTATGTTATAATAGTTAGAGCATAAGCACAAAAGTTACAGGACAAGGATTACTAGTTAACTTGAGGCAGTAACCATCCTCGGGCAAATTTCTTTTAAAGACATCTGGATGTCAACATGAATGTTGCATTGCATCCATGTTAGCTACAGCATGTACTCTTATGTTTTGATATTTAGAGCATAAACGAGTTAGAATGGAGCTTTATGGTCGAATCAACGTAGGTAAAATACAACAGTTACAGGACAAGGATTACTAGTTGAATTGAGGCAGTAACCATCCTCAGACCCATTTTTTTTAGCGACATGTGGTTGTCCATATAAATGTGATACTGCACTGCATCCACGTTAGCTACAGCATGTACTCTCGTGTTACAATATTTAGAGCATAAACGAGTTAGAATGGAGCTTTATGGTCAAATGATTATTATCTGACTAAGGCGATGCTAGTATAGTCTGGTGGGGCTGATGCGCGCTCACATTGGTGGCCATTGTTGACATCATTATATGAAGGTGGCGAAACCCTGCGAAATTGATGATTCCTTATTCTTGCATGCTCGAAACGAGTCGTTGGGGATACCGTTGTTGTGGCGGCTTGGGTAGATTGTTCAATCCTGCTCATTTGATATGACGTATTTGAAGTTGAATCCTAAATAGTGTTACAATATCTGATTCAATCCAGTTTTTGATCGAAATTATTTTATATAATTGAAGTAGGCTCCTTATTAGATATCTATTTCATTTAACAACGACATTTTCAAGTGATCCATATGTGAAACACATGGATCACTTTATTAATTAATTATTGAATTACCGGTGCACAGTGTAATGCTTTTTGCAGTATCACATTGCTGGCCCCAACGACGATAATAGCGGCAGTAGCACTCGTTAGAAACAATATATTAGCAATAAGAAGGCCAATGAAGGATCCAGGTATCGATCTAAAATTCCACGCGGTCAAAACAAGAGCCATAGCAGGCAAAGTAATTTGTGCAAGTAGTACTACTTGAAATCGTCTTGGCTGTAGGATATTTTAAGATAGCAAAAAAGTGAGTTTATGCAGTATACTTAATTGGTCTCTCCAAATTTCTAGTTATCACTACGTTGAGAATCATTAATATAACTAATGAATGAGCAGCAGAATTGCGTTAGCGCTGATCTATTAGATAACCTGGAAAATACTGCAGTTATTAACTCTACTAATAACATTATCTTCGCCGTAGCTGACATACCTCGTTCAAGAAGAAGCGCAAACGATTTCTTCCAGCAAAAGTAATCAGCATTTGCGTACTGATGATTACAATCTGAGCAAATATAAAAACAACACCGAAACTGATTAATATAAGCGTGTGTATTTAATTAGAAGAACATCGACAAGTGCCTTGTGAAATTGCAATACGAATGATAAAATAGACCAAGGCCTCCTAGGAGGTATATTTTAATTTGACAAGACGATCTAATTTCAACAGAAATTGTTTTCTACAAGGCAAGGGTATACGGTACAACCTACTGTGTCAAAACGCAATTGTGTACGTAAAAACAAGTAAACGGTGTCCAAAATGTGTCCGTTCAGTTGACTGTTGGTATGAATTGATGGCTTATCACATGTGGAAAATTGTTGGCCTAGTATTATTCATTGCTAACCCTTGGTGTATTTTATCCATTTAGAACGATTGCGTCCAAGAATGTTATGAAGGAGACTAGTTATCCTGCTTTTGCATAGATGAATTTGATTGAGGTATTGATTCGAAAAGAATACTGTAACGTGAAGTCAAGTAATATATCGTAGATTGATTAATATAGCTACAATTGAAACTATCTTCATTGTGATCGAGGAGTAAAGTAGGTTGGAGTTTTTACAACTACTTTATTCTGATCAAGCACTCTTAAGGCAATCAAACAGTGCTATTCAAGTAAAACCTCGACTAATTGTAATGAATCATCACGAGTTGGGATGATAATACTATAATTTGTAGTAGTCTGTGGAAAACCAATACTAGTATACCATGATAACAGAGCAGAATATATCAACATGACACCCGAACAATAACAACAAGAGGCGCTTGATCGTCAAGGTAAACCGGCAGATGAAAGTGCTTGAGGATACGATCGATCCATGGTCAAAGTAGCAAGACTATGGTCATCCTTACGTCGACTAACACTATTTTAATAGGATTCTACCGTAGCGGTACTACAACAGGTTGATCGATCGAAGAAGAACAGTCCGTGTTGGCAGTTTTCCACGTCGTCCATTCTCTTTCCAATACAATTTCCCTAGTCAATTTAACTACTTTATCCTGATCAAGCACTCGTACTTGTGATGAATAATCATCAATTGGGATGATAATACTATAATTTGTAGTAGTCTGTGGAAAACCAATACTAGTATACCATGATAACAGAGTAGAATATATCAATATGACACCCAAATAACAACAACAAGAGGCGCTTGATCGTCAAGGTAAACCGACAGATGAAAGTGCTTGAGGATACGATCGATCGATGGTCATCACTATGTCGACTAGTACTATTTTAATAGGATTCTACCGTAGAGGTACTACAACAGGTTGATCGATCGAAGGAGAACAGTCCGTGTTGGCAGCTTTCTACGTCGTCCACTCTATTTCTAATTCAATTTCACTCTTGAATTCAACTACTTTATCCTGATCAAGCAAGCACTAGTACTTGTAATAAATCATCATGAGTTGGGATGATAATACTATACTAGCATACCATGATAACAGAGTAGAATATATCAATATGAAAACCGAACAACAACAACAAGAGGCGCTTGATCGTCAAGGTAAACCGACAGATGAAAATGCTTGAGGATACGATCGATCGATGGTCATCACTATGTCGACTAGTACTATTTTAATAGGATTCTACCGTAGAGGTACTACAACAAGAGAACAGTCCGTGTTGGCAGTTTTCCACGTCGTCCATTCTATTTCCAATACAATTTCCCTCGTCAATTCAACACTACTTCTACAAGACTTGGACAACTCGACAATATTGCTTACCGCGACAGCAGCGATGTACTGGAAAGCGATCGTGTAATCAAATGTATAGGACAGAAAATCGCACATAATCGCACATACTAAACACGTTATTCCAAGGCTTAACATTGCGATACCATATCGAATCGATTGGCGGACGCAGTAATCAAATTGGAGAGCATTGCTACCCGAATTCATTGCAAAATGATGCGAAAAGTTGCA